GTGTGGGCAGCGTGTGGGATGGGGAGGGGTAAAGGCCTTCTGGGCCAAGTGGGCTCCAGGCTCCTCACTCCTGGGGAGCTGTGAGTTGCCGGGCCTCAGCAGACTTGCAGGGCTCACTGGGGCTCATTTATGCTTTTATGGTAGCTCAGAAGATGTTATCGCAGCTTGAGAACTGAAATTAAAATATGTATCCTTCAGGTGCAAATCCTGTCCTAACAGCTTTACCGCTGCTCTGCGGGGGGCTCCATTAATCTCTCACCAGTGAAATTCCTGAGGAAATTAATTCCCTCCAGTTGGGGTTATTCTCAACTGGTCTTTGGGGGCAGAGTAATTGGAATTTAAGAGTCTCTCTTAAAAGAAGGGAAACCTTGGCCATTTTACTTGAGTGGCAGCCCTTTTCAGTGCCATGCTTTCTCCTCCCCCAACTCCCTCCGACATCTCTGTATGTCTCTCCCTTCTCTTGTAGGGTTTACAGCTAGCTACTCATGGGAGGGAACAGGATTTACAGGCTTCATTTCTGCAGAAGGCCTTGCTTGTGACCTCTCAGTCCTGGCACTGTGCATGCTGAGTAAGATTTGGCCATAGGAGTGCATGACAAATCATTACAAGCTTGTGGTTAAAATATTATCCTGGCTGTTTTGGAGGAGTAAATATCAGCCATCCTTGTCCAGCCCAGGAAAATATGTACCCACCCCCACAGGTTTACAACACAGTTGAGGGCTGGGAGCTGGCTCAGCCAGGAAGGTGCTAAGTGTTTGCCTTGTAAACAGGAGGACTTATGCTCCATCCCCAGAACCCACTTGAAGAAAGCTGGCTGTGGTAGTGAATTTGTAATCCCAATGCTAGGGATCAGGATGGGGAGACAGACATGTAGATCCCCGGGGCTCATTGACCCACCAGCCTAGCCTACTTGGAGAGTTGCAGGTCATTGAGATTTTTATCTCAAGAAACAAGATGGACAGCTCCTGGGGAACTACATACAAGATTGTTTCCTGGCCTCTACATGAATGTGTGTACACCGACACATATCCCATAGTCGACTTGCAGACTTGAGACTGAGTTTCTTGGCTGCCCCTCATTGAAGGTTTCTTGCTCCTAGGTCCTGACTTTTGCTTCCTGGCCAGAATCCCAAGTCCTGTTCCTTTGCCCCAGAAATACTTCATGGTGCCCCCAGGGGCAGCATCACTGTAGTCCACAGAAGGTTTAGTGGCAGCTGGTGTGCTGGGAGGGAGCTTGCTTGTTCCTAGTCAGGCAAACCCAACAGCACAGGATGGTATCTCATCAGAGGCTATTGAGGTCTCAGGTGGGAATCCAGCTCCCAAAAAGGCATCAGACATCAATGAGTGATGTTTACACATCAGGTCAGCAGAAGTCAGTGCCCAGAACGATCCTACAGGGATATTGGTTCAAATCAAATCAGTCCCAATCTCTTGCTTTTTTATTTTTATTTTTAGAATTGGAGCACTCACCTGCATAGAGGGAAGCCAAGTGTCTTTGTAAGAGTTACTATTGTACTATTGCTGTGTTAAAACACCAGGACCAAAAAACAAAACAAAACAAAACAAAGCAACTTGGAGAAGAACTGGATTATTTGCCTTAAAGTTAGACATCACTGTTCATCACTGAAAGAGTCAGGACAGGAACTCAAATAGGGCAGGAACCTGGAGGCAGGAGCTGATGCAGAGGTCATGGAGGGGTGCTCTTTACTGACTTGCTCATCACTGTTTGCTCAGCCTGCCTTTTTATAGAACCCAGGAAGGACCCTCAATCCTGGGATGTCACCATTCACATTGGGCTATACCCTCCCCCATCAATCACTAATTAAGAAAATGACTTATAGGTTTGCCTGCAGTTCAATCTTATGGAGGCATTTTTTAATTGAGGTTTCCCTTATTTTAGCATGTGTCAAGTTGACATAACACTAGCCAGCACACTAAGTGTGGGTAGGGTGTTCTGAACAGGCTCAAACCACTGAATCTGGAAGTGGCCAGTGTTTGCCTAAAGTTGTCAGAAGGAAAGGGCTTGACTTCTCAGAACAGCAAGATGAGGGGAACTTGCAGTGGTTAAAAAGGGGATCCTGGCCTTGGCCTCACCGCTGTGGGTGGGCGGCTTCCTTAGCAATAAATGGGATGGAAGCAGGGATAGTTTATACTTTGATAGCTTGGGGATCCTGAGGGAGAAACATGTACCCTATGTAACTGCTTTGGGAGGCAGAAAAGTTCTACCTAAAGCATTGACCCATATACAGCTGTAACTTGGGTTCACTGGCTTCCCAAGATGCAGTTTGGTCCATCTCAAACTCACTAGTCTTAGATGCTGAAGTCAGCATTCTCTAGGCATGAAGACACCTACTGTCCACTAGGTTTATCAATATTAGCAGTGGTAACTGCAGAAAGGGCAGCTGGAGAGTGCCCCAGGTCATTTCCTGCCCTTTATCCCAAAGCAGTGAGCCCTGTCTGTAGCTGGTATATGCACTTTCAGCAAATTCCATTTAGAGAGAAAATCAGAATTTGTAAAACTGCTAGATGAGAAGTGGGGTGACTCCTTAAAACAAAATCAAAACAAACAAAAAACCTCTATAACACATCTCCTCCCTGAGTTAGGATTTTACTAATTTCATTTGATCTAGGCAGTCTGTGCTCTTTGAAGACAGGCAGAAGCAGGTACAATGGTACAGTGATTCTCAACCTTCCTAATGCTACAACCCTTTAATAACAGTTCCTCATGCTGTGGTGACCCCTACCCATAAAATTATTTTGTTGCCACTTCATAACTGTAATTTTTCTACTATTGATCTTATTATCTGAAAGAAAGGTATCTGATATTCAGCTCCAGAGGGGTCATGGCCCACAGGTTAAGAACCACTGGATTAGATGATGAAGGGCTTCCTGTTAGCACCCCAGCTCTATTCTTTGCTAGCATGTTCTCACACTTTGGGGGACTTACGGAGACCCTTTTCTATGCCATATTCAGCTTTATAGTTATATACTTAAAAAATAGCAATCAGAGCAGGTATCCTGTCTTTATTTTATTTTATTTTTATTAAGGCAGGGTTTCACAATGAAACCCAGCCCAAACTGACCTCAAACTCTTGAACCTCCTGCCTTAACCTCTGGAGAGCTGGTATTCCTACCCCTCACTCTAGCCTGTTTCTGCAACATGGTTTCTTCCTTTCTATGTGTTTTACCTTCAAAGAGTTCTCTAAAGTTTCTGTTTTCAGTCAACTAACCTTTTGTTTAAAAATGTATATTCATACACATTTACTAGGACAACAAAAATGCTGGGCCTGGGGGGGCACATATCTGGAATCCCAGTACTTAGGAGGTGGAGGCAAGAGGGTCTGCTGATAACAGCACAGCAAACATTGGCTACACAGCAAATTGGAGGCCATCCTGTGCTCCTTGAGAACATATTTCAGTAGTAGTAATAAATTTATTATCAACTAGGCTGGGTGGCATAAACAAATAATCTCAACATTTGGGAGGCAGAAGCAAGAGGCTCATGAGTTCAAGGCCAGCCTTGGCTACACAGTGAGCTTTAGGCCATCAGAGGCTTCATGAGAACTTGTTTCAGAATAAATACTGGGGACAGGATACAGAGATATTGTGTGTAATGTCTCCTAGAACTTGTAACCCTGTTATACAATATCATAACCAGGATGCTAAAGTGTGTGTGTGACCAGCTGTCTTTCTGAGGTTTCTGTGGCTTTATTGGTACTTGAGACAGAGTTTCTTTGTGTAAGCTCTGCTGTCCTGGAACTTTCTCTGTAGACTAAGCCAGTCTCAAATTCACAGAGAGCTGCCTGCATCTGCCTCCTGAGTGCTGGGATTAAAGGTAAGGGCTATCATCATCCAGTTTATGTTCGTTTCTTTATAGGTTTAGGTTTGGATTTCTACCACCCCAGCAAAGAAGCAAAACAGTTTGTCCCATTACATTTGGTGTATTGTGACTTACATTTTTAGTAGCTATATTTCTCAAGGTATGGCATGTATATGTTTGTAATCATCGAAGCAGGGCTGCCAATAGAGAACAGGAATGAACCACCACAAGGAACTCTTTTGTTTAATGTAAAATGACCAGTGAGCAAAGGTAAAATGTAAATTTTTAATATATTCAAAAGAAAATATTATTTCAAACATATAATCTGCTACTGTTACTCAGGCTGACCTGGAACTCACTGTGTAGCTTAGGCTGGACTCAAACTTCCGGCTCCTTCCAGCCTTAGCATGGGAAAAGATCTGGAGAAGACACCAGAGAATCACTGCTCAGGAAAGGGAGGGGATTTTGTAAGGGCAGCCTGGGAAGGCTTTGAGTAAGAGGGGCATGGATGCTGGGACAGGGTGGGAGGGTGCAGGGACTCTGAAAAGGAGCCTAATGGTACTTAGAGGCAATGGGGCCCTTCAGGCCTTGCTGTGCCAAGGCTACACTGGGTAACAGGTGTCATAGGGCTGTGCTGAAGGGTTGATACTGGGGTTCAGAGGGCACCTCCAGAGGTGTTCGAGATTCCTCCAGGACTGAGGTATCAGAGCTGTCAGGGTTGTGCTTCAGACACTACTGCCTCTTATTCGACGTCCCAGTGCATCTTTATGCAGTTTTACGTGAGATTTCAGCTTGCAAATGTTCTAATCTGACTTCACTGGGATTTAACAATACATACACTTATATCCCTTGCTATTGTAGATTTATGAGCTCCAGGGAAGGTCCTGAGCTACACACACACACACACACACACACACACACACACACACACACACACACACACACACACACACACACACACACACACACACACACACACACACACACACACACACACACACACACACACACACACACACACACACACACACACACACACACACACACAGCCTGACTCCGAGGGCGGGGCGTACAGTGCTGGAGGGCGTGGCATAGTGCATCAGGGGGTGTGCCCTGGCCGCAGGGGGCGTGGCTTTCCCTGCGCATCCTCCTCGCGCGTCTGTCCCGCCCTATCGAGCCGCCGGCGCTCGACTGCTAGTGTCTGGCGGCGGCAGCATGGCGGCGGGGGCGGCAGAAGCAGCTGAGGTGTCCGCGGCAGTGGTGGAGGTTGGCTCGGCCCGGCAATTTGAGGAGCTACTGCGCCTCAAAGCCAAGTACGCGGGGAGGCGAGAAGGCCGGGGGACCGGCGGGCGGCGGGCCGGGGCCTCTAGATCCGGGGGCGGCCCGCTAGTGCGGTACGTCCGGAGCTGAGCTCGCGGCCCAACGGCGGCTTTGGCCGGGCCTCTGCGGGACCCGCTCCGGGCAGGCGAGGGCAGCGCAGCGCGGCGGCCCCAGTAGAGTGCAGTGGACCCGCTTCCCGGAGACCCGCATGAGATGCCTCCTGAAGGGCAGGCCCAGCTGGCATCCGGGGCTCTCCTGAGTCGCCAGCTGGCCTAGGGAGGGTCTGCTGCGGCCGGGCGCACGTGCGTCTCGCCTTTGGGCAAGACTTCCAAAGGCCAGTCCCGGGGAAGAGTAGGAAACGAGTACCTCGGAGAAGGCGTGCATATGACTCCTTCCCTGTGATGCCGCCCAGCCTTGGGCTGCAGTGTGTGTGTGTGTGTGTGTGTGTACGTACGTGTGTGTACGTGTGTACGACTGCCTGGGATCCCCCAACCTTTCCTCAGCCTCTTTCCTGCCAGTAACCTCGGGGCAAGTTTCTTAACCCCACCCTCAGCTTCCTCCTGGGTGAATGAGCTGGTGTCCCCAGGGTTGTTGTGATGGTTCTGTTAAAGTGCGGCAATGGTTGGCGTACCGGAAGCTCTCTCCGCTAATGCGGGGCTAAGTATCTTCACAGGGCAGAGTGGGTAGGTGGGAGAGTGACTGGCTGACTTGTAATACTCCATTCAGCATGGGGGAGGATTATAATAACTCATTCAGAGACTGGCTGTGTACCTAGTGCGTAACACACAAGAAGTCCTTAGTTCAAGCTCTGGCACTGAAAACAAAACAAAAGACTTCTACTTCTTTCGAATTTGAGGTTTGCTTGGTACCTTTTTTTCTTGCAAAGAAAAGGAAAGAAGAATGACATTTACTCGTTGATAGAAGCCAGGTTCTGACTGATCCAACATTATCTGCCATTCTTCAGGCAGAGGTATTGTAGAGGACGCTGGAGGGGGCCTCATGGAATGATGAGGGCTTGTGTCGACATGCTCTGGAAAGTTCGAACTTGCATCATCTAAGAAGATTGTTTTATGTGTGTGTGTGTTTCATGTGCTTATCTTGTTTTTGTTTCATGTTTTATTTAAGTAGGTTTTAGTGGGTAAAAGTTTATGTGTCATTTGTTCTACAAGTTCAGGGTCAGCTTGGTCTTCATAGTGAGATTCAGGCTAGCCAGGGGGATGGGCAGACCCTGTTTTCAAAAACACCAGCAAACACCCACTCCTCCCAAGGGGGGGGGCAAGCAAGAAAAAGCCAAAATCATTTACTTATATATATTCTTGACCCTGGTGTATGCCTGAGAAGACTCAGGAGACAATGTTCCAGTCTGCAGTGACTCATCTGAATGGGACTCATGGGAAGTGCTGTGTGACACCTTGGGAGGGAGCTGCTTTGTGTGGATATGGAAGCCACTATGAATACTGAATACTTGAGAATGCAGTTGTTTCCATATCATTGCTTCTCAGTTTTAAAATTTGATGTGGGTTGAAATTTACTTTTATCAAATTTTTTTATTTTGTGTGTGTATGGCTCCTTTGCCTGCATGTTGGTCTGTGTATCATGTGTGCCTTCAGAGGTCCAGAAAAGGGCAAGGGATCCTTTGGGACTGTAGTTACAGACTGTTGTAAGCCCCTGTGTGGGTACTGGGAATTGAACCCAGGTCTTTTGGAAGAGCAATTTGTACTCTTGATCACCAAGTTATCTCTTCAGACCAGAAATTTACATTTTTTTCTTTTCTTTTTGGTTTTTTAAGACAGGGTTTCTCTGTGTAGCCTTGGCTGTCCTGGAACTCACTCTGGATCAGGCTGGCCTCAACTCACAGAGATCCGACTGCTTCTGCCTTGAGTTTTGGGATTAAAGGTGTGCCACCACTACCTAGCTCAGAAATTTACTTTTTATATTAAAGTCATCTGGTTTGATGTTTGTGTTAAGTTACTGAAATCTCTGCTTCTTGTCTATACTGTGGGGGTGGGAGGTGGGTACTGGTACCATTTGGTGAGCAATTTGGAGGTTTAGTCCATTTATAAACCACTTAGGAGTCCAGAATGTGATAATGCATAGTAAATGGTAGTATAGTTTGCAGATGAATAACTGGAGTAGTGGAATATTACAATAGAACAACACATAGTTATAGAGCTCTAATCGTTTCACTGATGGGGAACTGAGACTCAAATGTCTGCTAAAATAGTCAAAATATTTTGGGGGTACAGTGCAGCTCAGTGGTGGGGTGCACACTCAAGGCCATAGGTTTGAACACTAGTGCAGGAGGTAAGGGAGTCATGTTAGTGAGATTTTCAACTTGATATTTCCATAAATGTTTTCAAACAATATGGCCTATTATGAGGGAGAGACTGGATATATATACAGCAAGAGGGTGACATCATCTCTGTATCTATCTGTCTATGTGCTTGTATTTGGCATGTCATGCTTAAATGGAAAATAAGAGCTAGCTAGGTATGTATATATAAGAATATCTTGGGCAATAAAATGACTTCATACTGAACACATGCAATGATGCTATGAAAACACATTTTTATTTGATCTTTCTAGCATCCCAAGATGTATTATTGTTTATAGGTGTGGGAGTTCAAAGAATCCAAAATCATGTTGATACTAGTGGAGCAAAACTGAGCTCTGTGTGCATACTTTGTTTTTCCTTCTTCCCCATCTTCTGTTTTGAATCAGGGATTTATGTAGTGGAGGCTGGCTTGAAACTCCAAGATGTGGTTTAGGATGACTTTGAGCTTCTGATCCTTCTGCCTCCACTTTTTTAGTGCCCCCCCCCACACACACTGGAGCTCATACTAATAAAGACTGGTCACTTGTTTTATTTTAGTTTTCATTTTGCTGGATTGAGCCCTGGGCCTCAAGTATACCAGGCTCTGCCACTGAGCTACATCTTTATTCTCCAATGTTGTCATCACTTGCCTATGTCAGCCATTAAAATTCTTTGCAAATTTGATTCTTAAGGGATTTTAAAGTATTTTGGCCATTTAAAAGATATTGTTAGATAATAGCTTGTTACTGGGTGACAGTGCCGCACACCTTTGATCACAGCATTTGGGAGGCAGAGGCAGGCAGATCTCTGTGACTTCGAGGCCAGCTTGGTCTAGTGAGTTCCAGGACAGCCTCTAAAGCTTCACAGGCAAACCCTGTCTCCGAAAAAACCAACCAACCAACCAACCAAACAAACAAACAAAAAAAAAAGAAAGCTTGTTTTGGGTCTTTTTGGTGGTTGTTATTTTCTGTAGTAGTAGAAAGATACCTGCCTTCATAAATCTTTGTTATTCTTAATTCTTAGAATACATACCTTATGGGTATATACCTTATGGGTATATACCAACAGGGTAAAAATGGACTTGTTTCAGTTCTTTTTAGAATTCCTAACTGGAAAGTGTATCCTAACTTTGAAAAGTGTAGTTGCTCTTGTGTTGCAATAGAGTGCAGTGGTTGTAGCTGTCATAGAAGCATGCAGTTGAAGTCCTGGATTCCCTCCAATTACTGATCTAGCGCACCTTATGCTTGGACTTTATGTATATAGCTTTACACAGTTCTTCCCTGCTTTCATTCCTTTCTTGGCCCTCTTTTCCTGCTGTGGTGGTTAGTAGTGATTTCACCATGGTAGGAGCTACAGTCACCAGGAGACCTGTCCATGCACATTTCTGAGAGGGATCTAGATTAGTTTAATTGAGGTGGGAAAACCCATCCTGAATGTGTATGGTACTCTACACTTGCTCTGCCTCTCAAGTGTCTACTATCATGCCAGCTAAGTGCTGTGCTCCCTCCCCTCCCCTCCCCTCCCCTCCCCTCCCCTCCCCTCCCCCCCCCCCCCCCCCCCTCCCCTCCCCCTCCCCCCCCCCCCCCCCCCTCCCCCTCCCCCTCCCCCTCCCCTCCCCTCCCCTCCCCTCTGGATTCTTTTCTCAGAATAAGCCCTTTAAGTTGTCAGGTGTTCTGCCACTGCCACACCTGGAGCAGTTGCTAATACATCTCCCCCTTTCCTTGTGAGGATTTTATCTGTGCTGTGATTCCTCCTACTGCCCATCAAGATCACCTTAGTTCCTCAGAAGCCAAGTCAGGATTTACTTCAAGGAGGCCCTGCTACAACTTTTCTGTGTTTGAGTTTGAATGCAGTGATGCCAGTTTCACAGGCTTTGAATCTTACCCTTTTCAAGCAGTTTACCACAGGTCACTCTTTAGTAGTTCATCATGACCGTGCTTGTTCTCAGTTTCTGTCACAAAATGAATTAAGTTGTATTTGTTCATGGTTTGTCATGCTCAGAAAGTGTGCAGGTGTATGGAGTAGTTCAGTGCCTTCAACTCCAGATAAGTTCTCAAGATAAAAGCCTCCTTTTGAAAAATGGCTATATTGATTTAATCATGTCAGAATGAAAATTGCATGATAGCACTAGATATATGTAGCCAAACTTTTTGTCTTGTGCTACCTCACCACACCTAACCGCCTTGGGTATGATGATATTCCTTTAATCTAGCATCTTTGACTTGTTTTCCAGATTTGTCTGTATGGTTGTGTCTATCTTTAGAGAGCCTCCCTACCCCAAACAGTTGAGTTCTGTTTCATTGTTGGTGTATAGGGTGCTTCGTTCTATCAGTGAGCATTTGGCTCTGTTATATGTCAGATTGCTTGGGCGTTCTTTGAGACCTTGCACATGTGCTTTTCTTCTAGTCACTGTTAGGCCTTGGAACCTCTCAGATGCTCTATTGGCTTGGGAGGTATGGCCAGAGCCTGCATAGGCTTATGAGTGAGGGTTTCAGTGTTCTGTAGGTTAAAATTCAGTTCCAGGTCCCTGGACTACTTAAAGGAGGGTTAGAATATGAATGCCTGAGGGAGAGGCAAGATTGCTTGATAGAGCAGTTTGCTATCAGCTGAGGCCTAAGAACTCACTCTTGGAAGATCTTCCAGATACAAGTCTGTCTGGTGCAAATTGTAACCCATTTAGGAAATGAACAGTGTGTGCTTCTTTGCCTTAGGTGTGCTTATTTGCCTTTGTATACTTAGAAGGCTAGTCGTCCCTGTGTCGTTGTCCGCCCAACCCCTGCCCATTTTTGAGGGGGTCTGACTGGCCCAGCCTGGCCTTGAACTCCTGATGGTTCTCATGCCTCAGCCTCTGGGGTGCTGGGGTTACAAGCATGCAGTTTCATACTAGGCTTCCATTTCTGTCCCAGTGTATCACCTAGCTTTATACTTGAACAAAACCAGGACTTGAGGAATCTTCTGTCTAAACTATCCCCATCCCTATTTCCATTTTTTTTTTTTTTTTAAGTTTTTCTCTGTAACCCTGTCTGCCCTAGAATTCATTTTATAGACTAGTCTGGACTCGAACTCACAAAGATCTATTTCCTGCCTCTGCCTCCCAAATACTGGGATTAAAGGCATGCACTACCACCACCTGGCCCATCCTACTTACTTTTTTTTTTTTTTTTAAACCAAGTTCCTTAATTTTAATTATCCTGTTCATGGTCTAGAATGGAATTTTCTACAGATTATATAAAAGGTTAGTGCTTTGTATCCCTACTTCTCACATGCCCTTTAGTCCATCCATTCTTAATTCCTTGACTCTGGACTAGAAGGCACTGTTCTCTTTGTGCTGACTTCTCTCAACTCCTTGGAAACCTTGCACTTACAGTTGCCTCAGATTTTCAGCTCTCTATGCATACAAGCATCTGGGATTTGATTTTTTTTTTTTTTTTCACTGAAGTCAAGCTGGGCCTTTCATGCTGTTGAATTCTTCTGTGCAGATCAGATCTCTTGAGGTGGATTTCTGCCGTGGCCACTTCCAGACAGCTTACTGTGATGCTTGGGTTCCTGCTTCTTATTTAGCACTTGCACTTGGTATCATTTACTATTTGTTGCTACTTTTAATGGTTGTTGCTCCTTCCTTCTTGCCATTCTTCTCTTCTGCAAGATTTAGACTTAAAACTCTTGAAGCCATCCATCTTTTCTTTTCCTCCACCTGGCCTGACTTGATGTTGGTAAGACCCAGAGATACTGACCTCCAGGCCCCTCTGTTCCCTCAGTGACATGGTTGGCTCTGTATTTTTTGATTGCCAGATTTGTAGAGAACCTAGGTTGGGCTTGAGCCCTGGTACTAACTAATGCTCCAATAGATGTGGTCAGCCTTGGTTTGTGGTCTGCCACCTTTTTCTGCTTCTGGTTGTGACTTTCCTCATGCCCTTGGTGTATTAGGAGAACTTCTGTTGTGGGTAGGGTCCCACTTCTCACTTTTTTTTTTTAATTTATTATTTTACATGTCTATCCCAGTTCCCTCTCCCTCCCTCCCTCTCTCCCTCCCTCCCTCCCTCTCTCTTTCCCTCCCTCCCTCCTTCCCTCCCTCCCTCTTTCTTTCCCTCCCTTTTACCCTCTCTGCCCTCTCACATGCACTCTAACCACCCTTCCCTCCCATCCCCCCACCCCAATTCCATATGTAGGGGAATGCCATCCAGTTGGGGTCATGTAGATCTGACAGGTCATGTGGAGTAGGAACTAGGGCTTCTCTCCTGTCTCTAGATTAAGGCAGTTATCCCTCCATGGGGGATGTGTTCTCAAAGTCCTTTTATGCACCAGGGATACATCCTGGCTCCACTTTCTGAGGTCCCTTAGACTGCTCAGTCCTTCTGGCTGAGACCCATATTCGGGGGGCCTGAATCAGTCCCATGCTGGCTTCCCAGCTATCAGTCTAGTGGCCGTTAGCTCCTCCTTGTTCAGGTAAGCTGTCTCTATGTGTTTCTGCTGCCTGGTCTTGTCCTCTCCATCTGTATCTGGGTTCTAGTTCGACTCAGTGTTTATGTATGGGTGTTTGATCCTGTTTCCAACAGGCATTAGTTGAGGGCTCCATGGAGAAGTTAGTTGTTGATCTCACTCTCCAGGAAGGGCATTTATGGTAGCCTTTCCACGGAAGCTCAAATTGTTAGTTGGTGGCAGTCTTGTAGTTCTCTAGACCTTTCTTTGTGTTCAATTTTATCTTCAAACCAATATTGGCTCCCTCTTTTATGTCTCTTCTCTCTCTCTCTCTCTCTCTCTCTCTCTCTCTCTCTCTCTCTCTCTCTCTTTCCTGTCTTCTATTCCTAACCAGGCTCAATCTTCCTGGTCGGACATGTTTTCCTTTCCTCCCCCTCATTTTCTTCTACTTCTCTCTCCATTCGCTGCCCCCCCCCCCACTTCCCCTGAGCTCTGGGGGACTTTATATGAATCTCTTAGAATACACCTTGTATCCTAGTTCCTCTGGTGGTGTGAATTATAGGCTGGTGATCCTTTGATCTAGGTCTAAAATCCATATATGAGTGAGTACATACTGTGTTCCTCTTTTTGTGACTGGGTTACCTCATTCAGGATGGTTTCTTCAAGTGCCATCCACTTGCCTGCGAATTTCAAGATACCATTATTTTTTTCTGCAGAGTAGTATTCCATTGTGTAGATGTGCCACATCTTCATTAACCATTCTTCACTTGAGGGGCATCTAGGTTGCTTCCAGGTTCTTGCTATTACAAATAGTGCTGCTATGAACATAGTTGAACAGATGTCTTTGTTGCATGGATGTGGATCATTTGGGTATATGCCTAAGAGGGGGATTGCCGGGTCATGTGGTAAACTATTTCCCATTTTCCTGAGGAACCGCCATACTGATCTCCAAAATGGCTGTATGAGTTTGCACTCCCACCAGCAGTGGAGGAGTGTTCCCCTTTCTCCACATCCTCTCCAACATAAGTCATCATTGGTGTTTCTAATTTTAGCCATTCTGGCAGGAGTAAGATGGTACTCACTTTTTTTTTTTTAAAAAGATTTAATTTATGTCTATGTGAGTTCTTGTATATGTGTATATTGGTGCCCATGGAGGCCAGAACCTTGGAGCTGATGTTTGAGACCTTTGTGAACTGTGACATGAATGAGTGATGGGATCTGACTGACTCTGGTTTGCATGCAAGAACAGCAAGCATTCCTAATGCTGAGCCACCTCTTTAGCCCCTTTATCATTTCTTTCTTTCTTTTTTTTCCTCTCCAAGACTGGGTTTTTCTGTGTAGCCCTTGAACTCAGAGTGCTGGGATTAAAGGAGTACATCATGACTGCCCAGCACCTTTATTGTTTCTTATTCCATTCTTTGATTATAGGTAAATATGTTTGCATATTTTTTCCATATAACACATTATATGTGTTTTTTTTTCCCCACCCTGTAGGAGGATTTTATTTGAACTTAGAATTCTGTAAATTTAAGTTTCAGTTAAATTTGAGGTGGTTTTAAAGACATGTCTTTGTGAAGATAGTTTTGTGTGAAAATAAGTAATGCCAGTTTCCAACATTGGTTATTTGAGGTGTCTAGGAAGTTAGTAGTCTAATGGCTCCTCTGCCAGTTCATGGAGATGCTCAGAGGGTCCTTTGGCAACACAACTGCAAAGGGCGTTTATGAGCAGTGGTCCCAGCCCTGCTCTTCTGTGGTTATAGTTGTACCCATTTGTCACAATACTATGTGAGATTAATAGTAATAATGTGTCCACAGCCATTTCTCAGCAGTAACTTTGAAGTACAGAAGTTTAGTTTCCACTTTCATTAAGAGTCTGAAAACATAATTGACATGTCTGTTAGTTGAGATGGATGGACATTTAGAACCACTTACTGGGTTCTTGACTCAAGAAATGCCATTAACTTGAATAGTCATTTAAGAGTGAAGACTGGCAGTGATTCTGTTCAATACATCTGGATTCTTAGTTTCCTAGGTTGGAGAATTTAATCTACAGCAGCATTTGCTTCCAGAGTTATTATAAATTTAAAAACTGTGTTTTATTGATTTATAGGTCACTCCTCGTGGTCCATTTCTGGGCACCATGGGCTCCACAGTGTGTACAGATGAACGATGTCATGGCAGAGTTAGCCAAAGAACACCCTCATGTTTCATTTGTGAAGGTACCATATATATTAAGTCTTATTTTTTTTTATTATTAATTTCTGATTCATGAGGTAGACTAGATTTTATAATGTAAAGGAAGAAGCTGTGAAATTTCAAATACTTGAACTTTGTATTGCATTCTGTTGTATTTACATTAAGTTATTCTGACAGATCAGTTAATGTTGCATTTCTCACATAGTATCAAAAGCCCTATACATTGGCAAAGGATAGAAATGTTTGACAGCAAAAGCAGACCAGATAATTCACTGGATAATTTTAGTTTCATAGTAGCTAATTAAGACTTTGTTGAGAAAATATCTATGCTGTGGAAAATGGTCCTAGAAAGTATGTGTATGAACAGGTGGCTGGGGGGGTCAGTAGGAACTCACTGCTATCTCTGCCCCTTCCTCTCTATACTGAGCCCCTGGTTTTATTCAAGTCTTGGTTCCTACATTCCTGTTGTCTTTTGAGATGGTGGACTTGAGGAAGTTGATGGCTTTGCTGGAGGTCAGCAGACTTGTTTTTATACATGTAATCTTAGTCATTCAGGACTAATACTGGTTTAGGTTTAAGAAAAAAGTGAAATATATATTGAGAATAATGGATTATTGGGAAAGGAGCTATACTCTGTATTCTTAGAGTTTATTTATTTACTTTGAGACAGGGTCTCACAGCACAGACTGGCCTTAACATGTTAGTTTTCTTGCTTCCCAACTTCTGGGATCAGCATCTTGTGCCTCTGTGCTCCAACGCTGAATCTTTAGGATTTAAAACAAAGCCCAAAACCTTGTTTTTTGGTTGTGAGCTTAGCCTTTAACAGCTGAGCCATCTCTCCAGCCCCAAAACCTTGTTTTTATAACTATAAATTGTGAGTTCAAAATGTATGCTGACGAATATACCCATATTTGAAATTAGAAATTATATGAAGTGCTGGTGTCTGTAGGTCAGAATTCTGGTATCTAATTCCTTAATTCCTTTTCATGGTAAGTGATTACATTTTCTGATAACATATGTATAGACAGCATTTGTGTGCTTTGAATTGGTATTGTATTCTGATTGCTCAAAATGCCAAGCAGTATAGCAAGATGGATATTAAGAAGGTTCACTCCATGTCTTCCCTGCCAACCCTTGGTCCTTCCCCATAAGTAACCAGCTGTATTAATTTTGTATGAATTCTCTCAGTGTTTCTTTATGCAGATAGAACAAATATGAATACAATAGTTAGCTTTTTAAAACTTAAGGGCTTACTTAAAATTCTGATGAAGTGCGTAATGTAACCTTAGAAGGTAACCCTAAAATGTCCAATATAAATAATAGAAGGGGCATTAAAACTGCATGTTTGGTCAGTGATAAAAGATAATGACTACAAGTGAAATGAATGATTAAACGCTTCAATCATAGAATTAGTCAAGATGATGGTAATTGTTCCATGTCTGCTTTCATACGTATAATGTTACTGGTTTAGGTAACACACTGTTCTCACCTGCCATCTGAATGATTCATTTAAAGTGACTATAGAATTGCTTCTCACATTGGTACCAGACTTGGCAGTGAGATTTTGAGTTGTTCAAGTGCTTAAGTGTCACAGCGAGCCAAGAGTTGGAGGTGTGTGGTACTGCTGGATTGTCAGGGATACCTGAGCCTGACTGCACCTGCTGTTTAAGGGGATGGCAGCAGTACTTTTGTTAATTAGGACTTCTGGAAATTTCTGGAATAAGGCTAATAATGTTCTCTCCATCAGTGTCTTTTTATCTTTTCTTTGAGTGTATGTATATGTTTTTGTTTTTCAAGACAGGGTTTTTCTGTGTTGTCCTGGAACTCACTCTATAGACCAGACTGGTCTTGAACTTAGAGATCTGCTGGGAATAAAGTTGTGTGCCACCACTGCCCAGCTATCTTTTCTTTTTGATTTGGGAGTCTCATTATGTTGCCTAGGCTGGTCTTAAACTCTTATACTCAAGCCAGCCTCTTGTAGCTGGAACCTCAAGGATGTCCTACTACTTTATTTTGTTTGCTTTTTTGACTTGTGAAATGAAGTGATCTATTGTTTGGTGATAGATTCACAGTCATTTAAATAAGTGATCCATTTTTAAATCAATTTTTTGTTGGCATACACAATAAATGAATTATTGTTATTATTATTATTATTTGAAACAGGGCCTTAAATATCTTAGGCTGGCTTGGAACTTAACTATGTAGCATGGATGATTTGAGATTTTGATCCTTCTGCCCTGTCTCATGAGTGATGGGATTGTAGTGGGCTGGGGTATAATGACACAAGCATAAATTTTATAGTTCAACTTCATTTTTGAGCTGTACCATTTCTCTATATCTGAGCAGAAGTTTAGCCAGGTTTGTCCAGAGACAATGACTGGGACCTGGAGATATACATAGTAAACGGATTTGTTACAGGAATCGGCTCACCGTACTGCAGAGCATTATAAGCCTCTTCAAGATGGAGAAGCAGGGGTAGTTGTATTATTTCATCTGTAGTAGCCCCACATCGGGTGCTAATCTGTAGTAACCCATCTAAGTGGGGCTTTAGTCAGATCCAGTCGGATCCAGCCACCTTGCCTGGTTTGTACCTGAGAGGAGTGTGGATTGAGAAATGGCAGGTTAAGATGTTAAAGAAAGGACAGAGGCACAGGATAGAATTAGGAGGGCAATCCAGTGAATACTGAATGCCCCAAGTTTATTCTTCAGCATTTTTAAATACCCCAACCAAAATGGCAAAAAGACTTTATCATGACACAAGGAAGAAACATACTTCCTTAATTCTCCAAACATTTGGTAACAATGCCTTATACTAAATTTCTCATTATCTGTTCTTGAGGGTTAACAGTAACCACACCTCAGACCAAGTCTCTTGTTATTTAGATAAAACATTCACAACTAAGACCAAACATCCTATAGTAGCCACACCTTAGACCTTTATTTCTTAGGACTTCAACCTTGGAAAAGTAAGGATAGTTTTGAACTCTCTGACCTTAAGCCAAGGTGAATTGAAGCCATTTTTATGGAGCCTGACAGGTAGTGCTGTGCAATTTGTGCCAAAAGCATGAGAACCAAGGAACTAACTGATAATGTAAAAATCTTGAGCTTCAGGGGTGGGAGTTCAAAGGCTCAATAACATGGGGTTCTTATTCCGGGGGAGGAGATGGGTGTTTCAGCCTAAGAAGAGAATGTGTACTCAACCTTTGTTGTTTTTGTTCTGTTGAGGCCTTACCCTTTTGGGTGCTACTCTCACATTTTGAGGACAGGTGAGTCTTCCTTACTCAGTCTGTCTCTCAGGTGAAGCACCTTTGTAGGCATGCACATAAATGATGATGTACTGGTTATCAGGTCTATTCATCTAGTTTGTAGAAGAGCTCCTGGTATGGAGCTGCCTGTTCATGGTGTAGAGCTCTTTTACATGCAGGCCATTTAAAAATATTTTCTATTTTCATTACTAAGACCATTATACTAGATTAGAACCAGATTTTCAGAGAATTTTGAGTGCTGCAAAGATTTTATTCTCTGGTTCTGGAGATTGTACCCAGGGTTACCTGCATGCTAGACAAGTCCTGGGAGCCTCTACCCCAGCTCTACAAAGGCTGTCAGATGGTACTAATGTTTTGGAGAACTGTTTTGGCTTTAGTGGAAATCCTGTGCCCTCTTCTGTGTGTTTGTCTGTTCCCATGGCCTCTGTGAGGAAGAGCTAGCCTTCTAGAAGCTGGTTTGAGGGGAGGCACTTGTAGTGATCCTCAGGCAGGAATGGCAGCAGGGATCTAGTTAACTAACACATGTAGGTTATGTGTTAGCATGTTGTCTGTTCTGGTCCAAAGACATGTGTCCTCTTAATATTGTTTAGGTGTACTGGAGGTAAGGTCTCTCTGTGAGCGTCACTCAGCTCTTCAGAAGGTAAAAGAGAAGAGTGAGCTGCTGGGTGACATTGTGGGTTTGCTTTTGAAAGCCCAGCTTTCACCAGCAGTATTGGTCTGAGTACGGAACTGTGCCTAAGAAAGAATAGCACACACGTTTCTATCTGTAGTCTGTTCTAAATGTTTGGGTCAGGCTGCTTTCTCTTTCTGCCCTTTTATCACATGAGAGGACAACTGTTGCTACTTGAAGATTTAAAACCTTATCATTAAGTACATTTGAAAGCTGGAAACAATTAAAAGCATTATTGCAAAAAGCACAAAAAGTATCCTCATAAAGACTGTGGAAAGATGAGTTAGTGAGGCACCATGAGACTGTGCAGGCTGTACAGTGCCTCTACAGGTCAGGCGTCATTCCAGCACAAGTAGCCTGACTGGGAACAACAAGGGTAAAAATCACATTTCAAGCCCAGTGGAAATCTTTCACTCTTGGAGAAATTCAGTATATATATTTTAAACATATTTAACAGTGTAATTTATCAATAAATTTTATTTCCTATAGGTATAATGTGAGTATAGGTTTTTATTGGTTTCAAAAAGTTTATATTAAATTGACAGTCCTATGAGAGAAAAATATGGTTTTTCCTCAAAGTATATTTATAAAGACCTACGTAAATAGCTTATAGTAATTGTGTTCTAATTATCTAGAAATTGTGTTTCTAAATCTTTTTGAAACCCTTGTGCCAGATACCACATCATACCTTATTTGATGAGGGGCCCCAAGGAAATGATCAGACCAAATACAGTCATCTTAGTCAAAATGAGTTTATATGTTTGAATAGAATGGAGAGCAAGCAACCAAGCAGGCTGTTTTCTTAGTGTCCAGCAGCCATGCAGGGGTTAAAAGTAAAATTTATCAGACATCAATAGTTTATTGAAGAAATACTCCTTTTTGCTTCATAATTTGCAGAAAGCTGCAACTGTCAGTCATGATGTACTGCCTCTTGAAATTAGTCAATAGAGCAAACAGCAAGAATTGCTGTGGGCAGAAAATAAGCACTGTAATCATGACATAACTGGGGTCAGTGATTTATGGATTTCAATATAGTAGTAGCTGCATATGATTGAAAATTTACTAGGTCACTAGTGCACCAAAAATTTTATTCACAGCCTCCAGGCATCTTTTGAAATGTGCAACAAAATAAAAACCTCTGAACCTGTTTTGACACTGCAGACTCCGTGGATGACATGCCAGCCCAGTGAGTCTCATTTAAATGTAAATGTGTCATAAACTTTTGTCCTATAGTCTTAAAATACCATGGACTTGAAGGGACAGTGCATGTGAAACTGATTTACATAGCAAAGTAGAGAAAAGACCAGTAATAATGAAGCTTGGGTTCTTTTATTTTAAAGCTGGAAGCCGAAGCTGTTCCTGAAGTATCTGAAAAATATGAAATTAGTTCTGTCCCCACCTTCCTGTTCTTCAAGGTAAGGATGTGAGAGGCACCAGAGATGATGGTCCATCCAAGTGGTTCCAGGGACTGTATGTTTTGATTCTTCTATCCTCTCCTGATCTCGTTGGTGGCTCCTAGCCTTGTACCTTTTTCTGGTACTCTCTCTTTTTGCACTGATGAGGAACCATGCTTCTTGCTTGCCATGGGTAGTGGTCAGCCTACAGCTAGAACTGGAGCCTCCTGGCCAGAATCCAGACTTTTCCTGCAGACTTAGTACTCCCTGGTCCAGGTTTGAAGTGGGTTATTGAGGGCATATGCCTGGATGTGAGGAGACATCTGGTTGGTTCTAGTTGATTAATGACTCCTTGGGAAGCAAGTGCAAATCTTTGCTTCGGGGCACCAATAGGTATTACCTCAGCTCTCCAAAACTTCATTTGTGTTCAGTAAGTCCATTCAAGCTGGTCTTATTCTGAGATGTTAGTGCTTACCTAACATGCTCCAAAATGAGTGTATTTCTAAGTGAGAAGCAAGCAGTATAAGCAATTGCTAATCAGATACTCTCCCTTTAGTAACAACAGGGATGCCTTTATAAGTTGGATAGAGCTATGTATTTACTATAATCTTGTTGGAGTCTAAAATATAGGTAATGGTGAAGGAATGCCACCTTATTCTAAATGATGTTTCAAACTTCAGAATTCTCAGAGAGTCGACCGGTTAGATGGTGCACATGCCCCAGAATTGACCAAAAAAGTCCAGCGACACGTGTCTAGCGGATCCTTTCCTCCTAGTGCTAATGAACATCTTAAAGAAGATCTCAACCTTCGCCTGAAAAAGTTGACTCACGCTGCCCCCTGCATGCTGTTCATGAAGGGAACACCTCAAGAACCACGCTGTGGTAAGAAGCTGATTCTGATGATGGAAACAGAAGGTCCCTGTCTGAGTTGGTGCTGTGGATGTGTGTGGAGTTAGGCAGGTTACATTTCTGGGTGTCATAAAGTCAGTGTTAGCTGTTATTATGTACTATATACTTGGAGGACATGGGATCTTCTCTGGAAGTCACCAAATTCAGGCTTTCTGTGTTTCATATCTGAGATCTCGGCTACGAAGGTAACTTGTTACCTGGTGGCAGAGCTGGGAGGGATTAGGCTTCAGCTGCCATATTGCTATCTCTCTTAATGAGTCTTTAGCCTGTGTAAAGTTTTTTGTTTTTTTAAAGATGTGTGTGTGTGTGTGTGTGTGTGTGTGTGAGAGAGAGAGAGAGAGAGAGAGAGAGAGAGAGAGAGAGAGAGAGAGAGAAAATGAGAGAATGTGAGCGAGTGAGCACATAGTGTATAGGCCAAAAGAGGCCAGAAGAGGGTATTGGATTCTGAAGAGCTGCAAGTAGAGATGGTTGTGAGCTACCCAACATGGTGCTGAGAATGAAACTTGGGTCCTTTATAAAGACAACAAGCACTCTTAACCTCTGGGTCATCTTCCCCAGCCATTTTTAGATAATTATTTGTCTGTTGGTCTGTCTGTGTGAATGTATGTATGTGTATGCCACAGGAAATCATTGGATATTCTTAGTCAGTTTCTACCTGTTCCTATAAGGCAAAGTGTCTGGAACCTGCTAGGCTGTCAAGTCCCAGTCATAGTTCTGCCTCCATCCTCTAGGAGCTGGGGTCACAATTGTTAACTGGACACTTGGCTTGTTAGGTACATGCTGGGGCACACCTCCAGTCCTGATGGCTGTGCAGCATGCTCTCTGAGCTCCTGAGCTTCTCTATTCTGTGCAGTTTTTCTTTGAACAGTTTTCTTCCTTGACAGTCTCATCATCTTTTTGTTTAGATGTAGTAATTTCATTAGGGCCTGGGCCTGCCCTATGTGTCTTCTTGCTTGCCCTCTTGTGCTTAAATGATGGCATTTTTTTTTACCCACTGCTGTCACTTCTGGTTGATAGCTGTTAGTAGATTGAAGATCACTGATTCTTGGCTTATAGTCACATGTACTTTCTGTACATGATTGTGCTTGTAATTTTACCCTTAAATAAGTTTTGTAATTATTTGACCCCTTTGGTATTGAGCTTATGTTGTTTTCTTTTTACTGTGCCTACTACAACATTATTATACTGCATAATTGAGTTTTTAATGCCTTTTGATGATTCTGTTGAGACTAAGGATATTTGTTTCAACAGCACTGGAGGGGATTTATTAACATAGGCTACAGTAAAGTTGGATATGCTATTGATAGGATTACTGAGTGTCCAGCATGATCAGAAAGGGCCATGCTGCCATTCTAAGCATGTTCAGGTTACACTTCTCTGTGGTTGGGAGGCAGTCTACTTCTAGCAGTAAAGCATCCTGCTGAGTTCTGTCAAAAAGATGAAGAAGTGATCCCTTTCTTTCCTGGTTCTGCCTGGAAGATTTCACAGTTAAGCAATGACTTGAAACAGGCAGCCTTCACAGTGCTCTCTTGTTACCTTATTTTTAATGGAGGTTGGAACTGTTGCCCTCTGTAGTGCTCAATGTAGTCTAGTTAGGAGCTACACAATGTGTGCAAACTTGTATGGCAGGCTGTACATACAAACCCAGAGTCAATTCAATACCCTGTTCTTTTTTTCTTTTCTTTTCTTTGTTTTTCTTTTTCTTTTCTTCTTCAGGTTTTTCAAGCCATGGTTTCTCTGTGTAGTTCTGGCCATGCTGGTACTCACTTTGTAGACCAGGCTGGCCTTGAACTTACAGAGATCCCCACTGCTTCTGCCTCTCGAGTGTTGGGATTAAACACATGTGCTACCATGCCCGGCTCCCTGTTCTTTTTTTTTAAACCTAACAGTAGCATTCTCTTTTCTAATAACCTAGTGAAATTGGCAGGAGGCTGGAAAGTGTTACTAGGCAGCAGAAAAGGGGGTTTGTGTCACTTGTGTTTCAGCCTTGCCAGTGAAGGTGGCCCTGCTGGGTACAAGTCAGGTACCACCTTGGCTTTCAACTGCTCTGCAGGGTGCTGGGGTGGGGTTAGTTTTGGAAGGCCTTTCTGTACAGTGGTTGCCTAATTCTTCAAACATAATAGTGGTAAACATAGAAATAGTCATTTTAAAAAAAGTTAACTTTTAAGTTAGAATACATTATACTGTGATACCATCTTTCACCCTCCCTCACACAATCTCAAGCCCCTTCCGGTTCCAGCTGGTTCTCTTCCCTTTGTTAGTTCCCTGCTGCTTTCATGTTGCTATTGCCTATACTTCATCCCCCTCTCTCCCACCCACTTAGAGCTCCTCCTTCCCGTGCAAGCATGTGCATGTGTATTCTCTCTCTCTCTCTCTCTCTCTCTCTCTCTCTCTCTCTCTCTCTCTCTCTCTCTCTCTCAGGGGCATGTATCCATGCACACATAAAATTTCAAATCTAGTTTCTGCACACAAGAGAAAATGTGTTACTTGTCTTTATGAATTTGCCTTGCCTTATCTAGAAATAGTCTTTTAGTTCACTAAACTGATCTTGAGTTTTTATGTTGTGACATTCAGACTACAAATAGAATAAAAAGAAAATTTAAATGTTCTAGAGCAATCTGAAAACAAGATTTTATAGACAATTAAATAATGAAAGAAAAAAAAGAGATTATTAGATGCATAAGGCTTTAAACTGCAGTTTCTTCTGTTCGGATGTCATCTTTGTAACTTTTCTAACAGTTCTAGTAGGTTCCTTTTTCCCGATAATTTGGTTTCTTGTTATATGTCCTCTTTCTTAGCACATAGTGCAAACAGATTATTGAAGGGTACATAATAAAGTGTCATTGTTGGGTCAGCTGGAAAGCCTTTGTGTGGGGACCACCGGCACCCCCTCTCTGGTGTTTGTTAGCGCCAGTGTTATTTACTCTCTTCACCTGTCATCTGTCTTTGGGAAATATCCGTGGCTTCACTTTTGGTTTTGCTTTCCAAGCCTGCTTAGTGTAGAACTGTTAGTGCTCCTTATTGACAGTCCAGTGAAGAATGTAGGCTAGCCCCTTCATGAAAACATAGTCTCTGTGAGCTCAAGAGGTTCCTCTCATGGAGCACAGTTGCTTTTTAGAGCACTCTGCCATTAATACTGCTTTGCCCTTGGTTCAACATCTGTTGTGGAGTAGAGCTACACTTGCATTTGAATCAGTGGCCCTGACCTTGCTTTGTGTTACCCAGAACAACTTGAATGACATTTACACTGTATATCCAGGAAAGAGGGAATGCTCTTTTCAGAGCCTGTTTGTCCTAGATCTGGTACAGGCCATAGGCCACAGCCCCCCTTCTGCTTTACTTAGGCTCCATCTGCAGAATTTATGGTGATTTACAAGCTGGTATAGAGAGGTTCTCAGGACAAAGACGTGAGTTTCCCCTCTTGTGGCTCCTCATGAGGATAGGAAGAGAGCTTGCTTACCTTTGAAGAGGTTTCCTGAAGTACTGAGGTCCTTCAGTGGAGTAATGAGGGGGACTTTCGTAGCTACTGCAGCTAAAGCTGGTAGGTGTTTCGCTGTGGGAGCTTCAGTAGTGAGAGTCAGATGCAAGGCACAAGTGCAGAAATACTCTTAAGGGTCTGTTTTAGGTAGTTATTAAATGTGGCAGTTAGGCTTATTACTCATGTCATGAGTGGAAATGACTGCAGATAGAAATGGTGATTTTGTGGTAAATGAGATTTTTTTTTTTTAAACTTTTAAGTGCTTCTATTTCATGCATTCATTTTTCTTCAGGAGTGTATAAATATTTTGTTATTAGAATAAAGCCTTATTACTACTTTATCCTTAAGCATAACATTTCCAATGTGCCACTTTAACCCTTAAAAATGAAACCCTACCAATCAATCTTTCTAGTCTGCATGTAATTGCCTAAAGCCAAAATAAAGCCTTTTCTCAGCCAGTTACAGTAGAAACGAGCTAATATATTGGGAACAGAATAACCATCAGCAGTCAGCCGTTAGCTGTTTACTAATGAACTCCCAGATGAGTGAAAACATTCAGAAACAGTGTTTGACTTCGGGCTGTGCATGAACACCACACTTGAGTTGTAGGAAATGCAGCTTATGTGCTGCACGCTCACCCTAGTGCTTCATCTCAACAAACAGCAGAGCCAGGAAGTGTCTGGGGCTCAGCTGTAGAGCCATGTTTTTAATAGTAAATTCACTTTGGGATGACGTCAGGTAAAACCATTGCAGTTAATCTTATGCTGGATTTTATTTGAAAATAATTGCTCATGTGAGAAAATCCTAGAGGAATTTTTAATTGGAAGAATAGGTTATGTTCCAGTTTTAAAGAGTATGTTTCAAAGAATGGCGAAGTGAGAAAGAGGAAGGAGCTTCAGACTTGGAGATGTAATTGGTAAGAATTAGCGTCTGGAAAGAAAAGTATCCTTTTTTTCAGCCTGGCACTTCTGATTCCCTTGCATCGTGCTCAGAGGTGAAGATGAGAAGCACCTGCAGAAGTGTGTGTATGAGCTTACTAGAGTGTTAGTAAGGACTACACTTGGGTCTCACTGTGCTCAAGCAGTGGTTAAAATAGCTGTCCTAGGTGTCCTGGTCAGTCCCTTGTTGGAGAGGGAGGCGGCCATAGAAGGCTTTATCCCATGTCAGGGTGGAGCCTTGCCAGGCTGTCAGGGTTCTGCTCTTAGACCAGTGCTGTGTCTCCAGTTAAAGAACAGCTCTGACAAATACTGACTCCACTCAGTGTTAACATAACACTGCAGTTATGTTAACGTATGTGTTAAATTCTTGCTGTGTGAGGCTCTAGGTCACATGAGGGGTTTAGCATTTGTTGTTCTTTTATACTGTGCAGTTATGCTGATTCAGTCACTGCAGCTGAGGTGGGCATTTCTGTCCCTTGAACACTGGTATGTGAGATGCTGAATTCTCTTATTTCCTTGTTCTATTGCAGGTTTCAGCAGGCAGATGGTGGAAATCCTTCACAAACACAATATTCAGTTCAGCAGTTTTGATATCTTCTCAGATGAGGAAGTTCGACAGGGGCTCAAAACATACTCTAATTGGCCCACCTATCCTCAGCTCTATGTTTCTGGAGAGCTCATAGGAGGACTTGACATAGTTAAGGTTAGATTCTTTATGAGCATACATTTTTTAAGGTGTTGTAGTAAATTAAAACTATATACTTCTTATTGCACCTAAGGTTTTGCTAATGAGACCACAGTATTTCTGATAGGCATTTGTCACTATTGCACATTGGGGTGGTCAAGGTGGTTTATGTTGTAATGTTCTTCTTTCAGGAGCTGGAAGCATCAGAAGAGCTAGATACAGTTTGTCCCAAAGCTCCCAAGTTAGAGGAGAGGTAAGTACTAGGAAGCTACCTGCAGTGTGTCCTGAGTATAACAGTTTATAAATCCTGTTACCACATTGTTCTTTCTGAGTAGACACCAAGCATTTGGTGTTTGCCTGTTGAGGTCATGGTGATTCCTCAGCACCTAGTCTTGGAAACTTGGGATGCTCTGATCTGAACTGGAGATGTTTTAGCTCTGTTTAGTGACTATGGAGAGTATATTTGCTATTGCAGAAATACCACATTTAGTGGGTCTAAGGCCCTATTTGGTTCCAACTTTTTCATGTAAGCATAGCACCCCTGTGTTTCTGTGTGCAGCTAAAGTGCTGTGTTCTATCCTTGAGTGTGGTAAGAGTTAAATAGGAAAAGCTAAGGTTTTGAGTGGCTTCTTTAAGCCTCAGTACAAAACTGAGGCAGACTCTGGAGCTATGAGATCATCCTTTTCATGAGGGATCACAGTCTGCTTCAGAAGTCTTGATATAGAGGGACTTTAGAAAGGGACTGTTGCAATAAGTAAGAGTTTATTAATTCACATTTTATATTAATAATGAAAAGGAATTATCTTTAAATGTATTAGCCCATCAACTCTTAGTTGGAGCTTGAGTTTGTAATTTCTTTGGTATTTCACATTTTGAAAATTTCAACAAATATTTAATAAAAAAACACCATCTGTACTTAATTCAAGTGCTCCTTAGGCACAGAATTCCATGTATGTCATGCTGGCCCAGTGCCACTGGTCTGTACCCTTTCCTTATGATGAGAAGGTGGTGGTGTTTGTGGACACCACATGGTTCCCCTTTTCACTCTTTATTGTGGCCCATGTTGTCCTTGCCCTCTGAGTCTGTGCTGTTTCTGAAGTGGTTCTGCATTTCATATCCCTGGCTTGGCTGGGTACTGTGCTTTCTTTCCTCTCTGGACCATTGTTGCTGTTGTCTTCATCAGATCTTCTTTCTTAAAGTGATGCTTCTAGCTCTCCTGTGCCTCAGGCATGCACAGATACTGGCTAGAGCTGTAGAGAAAGCAGTGTTTGATATATTTGGGAGAGTAATTTGAAGGGCTCCTATCTAGCAAAATGACATGTATTCTGACAGTAGAGTGACCTGTGGTGCATGAACGTAGGTGGTTAGCTCATTTGCTGAGTGGGCTGGGCTAGGTTTGTGTCCTCCTGAGGAAATGGAAGTATAAGTGTCATGGCCTGTGTGATCTGTTTACTAGACCAGCATCAGTTTTATTCTACTAGGAAATTCGGACCCATAGTGCTTCCACAACATGAGAGGAATGAAGAGAAAGTGATGTGACCCATTGTCTCTATATTAATTTTTCCCTAAAGATTTGTGAATAAACTTTGTTCCATATTTGGGTAATTAACATTCCTGATAGCAAGTTAGAGCGTGGCATATAAAATATGAACTATCAAGTTAAAACAAGAACTGTAATTTTCAGCATTTAGTGGTAGATGGAGGGCTAAGATTCACCTTCTTACCTTTTTGGCCAGCAACCCTGCTCTGGGCTGAGGAGCATTATGCAGCATGATGGGAAAATGCTCACTGATACATCTTGGGAACTTTTAGATGGCTCAATATATAGCCCCCGCCCCCCAATTGAATAACACCTTACTGAATTGGTTATTATTATTTTTTTTAGTACTACAAGTTGATGGACTTAAATTGCAACTTGAAGGAACATTCGTTGCCTTAAAAAGCCATATTATGTTTTACAGTGGCTCAGGGAGAGAATGAAATAAAGGAAAGTGTCAGTGCTTTTGCTTGTTTAATACCACTCAAAGCTGTGAGCTGTCATCCTGCTATCCCTCAAATATGCCTGCTACTCATGAAGCAGAGCAGAAGTGGTGTTTAATAATTGAGCTGAGCCATTTTATATCAATTTTCTCTCTTCAGGCTCAAAGTGCTGACCAATAAAGCTTCTGTGATGCTCTTTATGAAAGGAAACAAACAGGTAAGGAACTCAAAAATGGTTTTATTTGTAATTTCTTTTGATGTTAACATGTGCAGCAAGGGGACAGTTAAGCCTTTTTTTCTAGTTTAGCTAATGAAGCTGTAGTGGTATCAGGAAGTTATCCTGGCCTTAATTGGTGCTTATGGAGATCAAACAAAGTAATCTCCATTTTGCCTGACTTTATCATCAGTGCCTCAGCAGGGTGCATTGCTGTCTGCTGCCAAACTTTGTCAGCCGAAGTGGTCAACACTGTGAGTGAGCACTTAGCTGTTCTTTAGTTGCTGTCCCAGTACCCTTTGTTTGAGAGTGTGGACTGTGGGCAAATGTACTTCCCTGGTAGTCCTGACATTTTTGGTTTTAGGTCCTCATTTCCTCGGAGTGGGAAATAAACCCTGACAGTGCTCTGTGGTATCTCGTTGATGAGTGAGTAAAACTACCACAGTTCTCATTTATAGTACGATGGGGTGGTTCTTGTACTTTGATAAAAGTACATACCGAATTTTCATTAGTTTGATAGGTCCCCTTGCATTCAGTAATGGGAGAAAAGCTAATTCTTATCTGAGTTGGGATTAGGTTGGTAGTTTCGAAAAGATAGCCCTGTCATTTCTCTTGCATTTTACATTTTTAACAGTTGAGTTTCAGCTGTTTAGCTTCAGGCAGGCAAAGCTATGCAGTTTGCTTCCCTCAAGATAAGGAGACTAAATCTCAGAAGGGTGAGGAAGCTGCCTAGGTTCTGGATAAGCCACTTTGGTCAGGTGATGCCACAGAGGCCTTTGCCTCCCTCTTTGTCTTTTTGTGAATGGACCTAATGATGCCATTGGACTTTTTTAACATCAGGTTGCTGTAAGGGTTGCTGTGATATCAACAGAGTGGAGCCCATTAGTTAAAACAACTAACTAGTTAACGTAACTAGTGTGGTGGAAGTAATAGGAAGACACTAATTTTAGCTATTGTTACCTCGGTGTTAGGACATAGACTGTGACTGGGACAGCATGCTTATTAAAAATAAACATTATCTTAATAACTTGTAATGATGAAGCAGCACTCTTTTGCTCCATTATTTTGAAAGCAGACTGTGATTCTCCACATTTCTTGTGGTTGTCCAGGAAGAATTCACATTTCTTGGAAATGGTATTCTGAGAGATTTTAATATGTGTATTGTCAGACTTCTTTCCCAAGATAGCTGGGGCTTGGGGGATCTGTGGCCTGATATAAAGCATAGGATTTCACTTCAAATGAGCTGGTGCCACAGTGCAAAGATATGTTTAAAAGGTGTGACTAAAGGTCTGTAGCAATGTGAAAACAGTTATTTTAGTTATTGCCTCTGACTTGATTATGTCCTATTCCTTTGTATAAAACAAGGAAAGAGTCAGGCGACTCTTTCAATTAGGGACATTTGTGACCATAAGAATTTTAAGCTGCTACATGTCCCACATCTTAGGAGGTCTGTAGGTTGTTTGGGATGATGTCAGCCTGGTGAGTACTTCAAAGGGAATGGGAGCTGGGGAAACACAGTGGCTGGGGTGCCGATTTGAGCATTTGCTGTAGCCACACTTACTGGGTTTGTGAAAGATTGTACAGTGTACTTTTTTTTATATGTATAATTTAGGAAGCAAAATGTGGATTCAGCAAACAAATTCTGGAAATCCTGAATAGTACTGGGTATGTAAATCTTTTCTTCAAATAATACACACACACACACACACACACACACACACACATACATATAATGCTAGTTTGTCAGTTCTGCCACTGATACTTTATAGTTTTAATGTCAAAGCCTATTTGCATAGTATTTATTTATTGACATGTGTTGTCTATTTTTTTATAGTTTTTTTTTTTTTTATGCTTTAACTTAGACCAAAATCTTCTGGCCCTTGTTTTCATCATACACAAGGAGATGCTAATATTTCCTAACTGTTATTTAGAAGCCTATATTTTCAGGCTCAGTGATTATGTGTGTACTACTCTTGTAGAAGATGAGAGTTGGGTCCCAAGCACCCACACTAGGCATCTCACAACTGCCTACAACTCAGGTCTTAGGTGTGGTTGTGAGGTCCTGGCCTCATTTGCCTGGAATAGGGTGAGCTGTTAAGTCTCTGCTCCAGTGGTGAGCTGCTGGGATGGCACTAGGTGGGGATTCCTCATTTGAGTTTTGTGGTAAAAACCAACCCACCTGTGTGGAGAACATATTTAACACATGTTCTTTTCGATTTTCAAATGTTTTGTTTATTTCCCATTTCGTGGTTGCTTCTTTTCAAATTGTAATATGTATTCTGAGCTTACTTTGAGTAGATAGCCTGTTCTCTGAAGTTGTAGATCTGCAGCAGGATTGAAGACACTTAAACAGCACAGTCTGAATATATATAACCTTTACAAAATGGCTTTTTTTTACAGGGGGCAAGCAAGATAGCTTAGAGAGTAAAAGGTGCTTGTTCCCAAGACTGATGAACTGAACTTTATCCCTGGGACCCAAATAATAGAGGGAGAGAACTGACTCCTACAAGTTGTCCCCTGATGTTCACACAATTGCCTTGACCTTCCATTGTCCCCATAAGTACATAAGAGAATTTTGGCAGCTCCCGCTGTAGCTAGTTTTGTCCATCAAAAGACTAGTAATTTAGTCTTGGAATGACAATCCTGATGATAAAGTCATTCCCATTACTTTATAGTAAGCTTTCTATTACAAGTTTTGTTAGCAGGGAATGCTTTTCTTGACCATATTAAAAACACTAGGTGGCTTTTAGGTTTTTTTGTTTAAAATGAACACCTGTTAAAACTACTTCTCCATTTCAGGGTTGAATATGAAACTTTCGATATACTGGAGGATGAAGAAGTAAGTTCTGGGTTTTTGTTTCATCCCATGTTTTAGCTTTAGTCATAGGGTTTGGTGGAAAGATTTCAGGATTCCTGTTGTTCTTTTAGGTGCGGCAGGGATTAAAAACGTTCTCGAACTGGCCAACCTACCCTCAGCTGTATGTGAGAGGGGAGCTTGTAGGAGGATTGGATATTGTTAAGGTAAGGGCTTTTTATTGCTCTTCCCAAGAACTGAGAAATCTGACATGTTTAAGCATCCAACTTTAGTGTTGTCTGGCTCCTGTTTTCTCCAGCCTCATCAGCATCCTCTGTGTATATGTCTTAGTCCTGCTTATGAATATGTCATGCTTATTCCTGCTCTGAGCTGTTTTCAAATCCATCGAATGCTGCCAGTTGCCAGTGAGAGCTAAACTCTGTAGCTAAATGTTCAGATGAACTCAGGACCCTGCTGTGCTAACTGCATCACAGCTTCCTTCTATGTTCTTGCTTACCAACCATCTTTACCTGATTCCTCCAACTTAGAGATTTTCTTGCATCATCCATAATTAAATCTTTTTTTCCTCTGTCCTTCAGGTTCATCTTCCTTGTAAATGTGTACATTCTTCCTGCCAGAAATATCTCTCTGTCCCAAAATTCTTATGCTCCTTCAATTTTTGTTATTGTAATTATTTCTCTGGGCCATCTCCTTTTCCCTTAACCTATTTCAGGCACAAGAGTGAGGATGAGGACTAGGAGACTGAGGCAAAAGTCTCCTGGCCCCTATGCCATAGTGACTGCAGGTCACCTCTGCCAAGTGACATGACTTTGTTAGCTGTTAAGAGTGTGATTTTGTTTAAAGTGGTACTGTATGTTGCATTCGTCTTATTTTTCTGTTGAGCCAAGGTCTCATTCTGTAGTCCAGGCTGTCTTTGAGCTCCTTCTATAGACTAGGCTGGCCTTGAGCAGTCTTTCTGTCTGTTTTCCTAGTGCTTAGGTTACAGGTATGAGTCACCACTGCTGGCCTTATTTTATATCTTGTTGAATCCTTCCTGATGCTCTGTTTGTCTTAGGAACTTGGTAAATGGTTACTAGACAGTTAAAATACTTGTTTCTTCTTGTGCTAGTAGGTGGCCTCATCTAGTAACTGTATGCATTACTCGTGTTGGTTAATGTAAACTTAAAGGAAAGAAGTAGCTTTGGTAGCCCCATCTCATCCTACTGCCTTGGCTAGCGTGTTAAGGAGGAGATATGGGTGACTCAGCTGACAGTGGGGGCAGCTTCTCCTCAAGGGCTGGAGACTGCCCTTAGCCTTCTGATTGTTTGGGGGAAAGTTTCTCTGAATTTCAAGTGGAAAACAATTTTTTTTTTTTAAAAAAATAATAGTTATACATTATAAAAGAAAGGCTTTAAAACCAGGTGTCACAATGTAAAAAAAACTGAATATCTGGACCAGCCAACATGTCTATGGAATCAGGGCCCCAGGCAGCTGCAGGACTGCTCTGTCTTGATGTTGCAGGGCTGCTTTGTTTCCTGCCAAATGCAGAGTTTGATGGCTCTTTGAAAATAAGGTAAGGGAGGGGTGGGGGGAAGAAAGGAAAGATGACAGAGGTGAAGTTTTCCTAATAAATGGTCTCATTTCTGGAAGAAAAGAAAACACTAGCTTTTAAATAGCTTTGAAGCAGCAAGGTAAGTGTACATTTGTTACTTTAATATCTAGGTGCATACACATCAAACATAGGTAGATATCTTAGTAAGATAGAATGTGTCTTTAGATCCCAGATACTTTTAAGTCTGTGCCTTAGCCATAGGGTCTTGGGAGACCAGGAAGTAGCTTTAAACTTTTGGGGTACTGTATAACTTTATGATCTTTGCTCAGAACATGTACATTTTCAAGTTGATGTTACTGCTCCTGTTTTTTTCTTACAGGTTTGTGGAGCTGTCACTTTGTGTTTCCTACAGAGTGCTTTTTTTTTCATCTGTTTATTAGTACACATTCCACATGTTAATTCTGATTGGCCTCTGTAAGAACTTTGTTACTTTTTTGTTGACTGAGTCAGTAACTCAGTGACTTGTTCAATCAGTCTGGTGTCCTGGAAAAGGCTGCTGTTGACAGACACTAGATGAACTGAGGAGTGCTTAGACTTGGGGCTCTTGGTTGAGTGATTTAAAATGCCTAGCAAAGATGGCTGAACTGTTTGCTATCAGTATAAAGCTCACAGGGAAAGATTCTTACTATGTAGAGTTCATCTGCTTCTCACCATAGCTTAGGTATAAACCTGGAGATCAGAAAAATGGATCGTGGTACAGCAGGATGTTGGCTTGTGTGCAGGGAAGAGAGAATCTCAGAAGATTGGATGCTTCTTAAGGCCACCTGATCTGTTATGTGCCTGAACTATGGCTAGCTTGGCTTAGTGGTTTTGTGCTCACTGATCTTTTAACTTTGTAGCCTGAGATTGTTTGCCCGCTCTCTCATCTGTGGTCTCTAGATGTGCATATTTAACCACTGAAGATAATGTACACATACACTGTTACAAAAATTTTTTTTTAGTCTGTTGTGCATATGAACTGAGGATGTTCTTGCTGATGTGTTGTCAGGGAGGGAAGCGAATTGAGAAGAGGGAGAATGAAAACTCTGTTCAGATTGACTTGTTAACCTTTGGGTTAACAAACTTTGGGGAATCTGATGTTGGTCGATTTATTGCCATCATATTTAAACTCAATATTATTTGGAAAAAACTTTCCTGGTGAAATAAAATCCCCAGTGCACAAGATAGCATAATTACTTTGAAACTCAAGTACATGTCATGTCTTCCAAGAAGATGGGTTCTAGAGATAGGCTGCCTGTACTAGCTTAAGGGCCTAAGGAAGGATCTGGCCTAGTCTTGATGATACAGATATCTTTGAGGTCATTTGGGCTATTAGCAACCTCTGGTTCTGGTTGTGGGAACTTGAGGGAGCCCCTGGCTATACAGATGATGTAAGGGCCATTTAAACTGAGGTGTGTCCAGTCTTGGTTGTGGGAGCTTGAAAGGCCTGGCCCAACAGATATCGCCAATCACCAGGCTGTAATCACCTCTGATTTGAAGCTTTCCAGATGGAAGAACAGGTTTTATATCTCTTAGATGGAAAAGAGGACTCTGTATGCATAACATTTCTAGTTTCCTTGAAGATCTGTGGGTGCAAGGACCTTCAAGCTCTTAACAATGTACCAGTGTTTTCCTTATTATTTTCCAAACAACACAGCATAACAACATTCACATTATAACTTGGAGACCAAGTTCAGCATGCAAGTGGTGTGGGTTGTATCTTGTACACATTTTCTGTAAGGACTGTCCTTGGTCTGTAATGAACCCCCAGTCAGCCTCCATGAATACAAAAAAAGATGACTGTATTTAGCTTTAAAATAAATTCTAATGTACAGGTTATGTTCAGTTGCATTTGTGCAGAGAAAGAGGATAGAAGAGGAAGACTTGAACTCAGGGCCTTGGCATGTAAGCCAGTGCTCTACTTCTGTACCTTGTATTCTGTTTTATGGTGTAAGAATGTTGGCATGTTGAAAGCTTGCAGGTTTAGATCAGTAGATATCCATTTTGTGTCAGAAATAGGTAAAAGTTCATGATTGTACACTCACACATACCTGCTTTTTGTTTTTTTTGTTTTTTGTTTTTTTTATTTTTAGGAACTGAAAGACAACGGTGAATTGCTGCCTATATTGAAAGGAGAAAATTAGTTAATGTTAAGCATGGTGTCCAAGGACTGCAAGAAGTATTTGATTACAGTGGAACAGTTGATGATTTGGTCCTGAGAAGTGGACTAGGAGTAGAAATGTGTCTCACCCAGCTATGCTCTGTGCATTTCACACAGCTGTGCTGAAGAAACGTATGTTACATTTTCCATGAAACATAGAAGGCAATAAACTCTTCAGATTCAGCTAAAAATGATTGTGTAGAATGTGTTTTTGCAGTGATATTTATGTGTAGAATGTGTATTTGTAACATAGAATCTCTATCACTAATTTCTTTAAATCTCTCTCTTAACACATGGGCTTCTTGTAGCGATTAGGAAAGGCCATCAGGAAACGAAGGCTGTCAAAAGCAGTGAGTGTGCAGTAGAGCTTAGAGGATTGTACCAGTCCAATGGCTCCCCTCACTGGCCAGAGAGCTTTTCACAGCCTAGGAAAATGCAATCAAAAGGCTTCTCCTGCTGACAGTGATGTTTATCCAGACCTTCTTCAGAAAGCCAGAACACCTTTGTTCCAGCATCCATTAGAGGGAGCAGCCTTCAGTCTTAAGTGGTTACAAGTTATTTTGATTGTTTCAATGAATATACTAATTATGCCTTCCAGTAGGTAGAGCATATTCCAAGAGCCATGAAAAACTTCAATATATTGTTTCCCATCCTGATTTTACATACATGACACTTGTCCACTTGTCCCATTATGCTTTGCTGGCATAAGCCTTACTTAGGATTTCTGAATTCACAGCTCTGGGATCTGGGTATTTGCTGCTTATGGGATGTCCTTAAATGATCTTTGCCTGCTGACCTGGGCTGGGAGCACTGTCTGTAGGAAGGAAAGGGGTGTGTCCAGCAGTTGGGACAAGCAGAGCCAGGGAGGGAGTACAGACCCAACCTCTCCAGAACTCTCAAACTGCTGCTCCTATCCTTGGTCTTGGATGTGTAAGGTGGACGTACCAAAGCTGCACAAGTTCTAAAGGTAGATGGGCCTGGCTTCCTAGGGATTAGGATGTCTATGAGGGGATTTCTGGAAAACAAGGCTCTTTATTTCCACTTAAATGAAAATTATTGTAAGTAAAACTTAATGAAGATAAATGTTAATTTTCATTGTTTTTTTTTTTACCAGTGTGTGGCTTCCTGTGTACCTCTTGGAGGTATGGTCAAATTAGTAACATTTCTATGGCTGAGTTAAAAACACTTGTGACCAAGGCATTTTATAGAAGGATTTTTTGGGCAGGGAGCTAGGTTAGTAAGCCATAGGCATGGTGTCTGGAGAGGAAGCAAAAGATTCAACATCTTGAATCTTCAGCATGAAGCAGAGAGAGAGGACTTAAATGATGCAAGCTTAAACTCCCAAAGCCTGTCCCCAGTGACACACTTCCTCAAACAAGTCCACCTAACCCTCCCAAAGAGCACCATCAACTGGGGGTGAAGCCCTACAGCTGGAGACCATGGGAACATTTCTTATACAAGCCATCTGCAGGAAGACTGGTTTTCTTGGCTCCCAAACTGAACTTTTTTGTACACAGCATTTATGATTTTTTTTTTTTTAATTTACAAATGTCCCCATTCTATTCCAGTACAGTGTTTGCCCTCACATTATCCTCATTGTCCTGGTTTCCTCTCTGTTGCTGTGGTAGATCACCTTGACAAAAAGTAAAGGGTTTATTGGGCTTCCAGTACCAGGTCACAGCCCACCCTTGTAGGGAAGTCAGAGCAAGAGCTTGAAGCAAGCAGCAGGAATAGGGTGAGAATGCATGCATGCCTTGTGGCTTTTACACTGTTCAGGGCTCAGTTAGTGGAGGGAGTCTGTTCACGGTGGCACAGTCTTCCCACCTCAGCTAACCTAGGTAATGCAGTTCCTCACACACATACTCACAGGCCAACCTGACCTGGGCAATCCTAACTGACACATACCTTTATGACTACAGATTGGTAAAGTAGTGTCTCCCATATTGAAGTAAAATGTGTTTAAATTTATTTTTATTTGAAAATGTCATAGAATGGGTTTTGATCATGTTTGCCCTCTTTTCCCCAGCTCCTCCCAGGACCACCCATCCTTCTCACCTCCTTCTTTGTGTCCTATTTATTCCTTTTTCCCCCTCCCTCCCTGCTTCGCCCCCTTATCATTTTACCCTAGCTCTTTTAGTCTCTTAAATTATTTACTCTTTTGATCCCAGGGTAAGTGGGGATAACAGTGAGACAGGAAAGCATTGGGGGTGATCAAGAGTGCTTGACTGATTGGAGGCTGTTCCTAGCCCAATTTTATTAGTTATAATTTGGAAATAAAGAGTTGGGGGTCCAGTTGAACTTCCATTGTCAGACTTTATAACAAAAGAGTTTGTAAATGGGCTGCTTTTGTAGAAATCATTTGTCAAAGTTGAAGCCCACTTCCATTCTAAAGGCTGCAGTGTTGTTTGGATGCTTTAATTGGGTGCCTGTTTGAGACTTCCAAGTGTGTGCTGTGTGGAGCTGAGCAAGTTTGGACATGTTTGGGAGTGGTCCTAGGTGTATCTGATATAGCTGGCTCCTGCAGCTTCCAGGGTGTGAGGTGGGATTTGTCGTGTATGGGGCCTGAGAGAGAAGTCTGGAGGCACTGAGGATGGCCAGCCCTGGAGTGGCTCTCAACAGAGACTCATGCCACTGTGGCTTAATTTTTCTGTCATCAGGGAAACCAATTCTCCCATAAGCAGGAGTTTCCTCGAAGGTGCTGGCTAAGTAGGAATTAGAGGGTCTCACATTAACTACTGGTCAGTCAGTGTGTTTATGTCTGAAAATAACTTCCTTGATAGGGTAGGATTCTTAGGAATTTGTGTCTGCTTTGGGAGATAACCCTATAGGAATGGGCTTTTTGGGGAATATTATGTAAAGATGTGTAATGTTTATGCTGTGGAATAGTACTTCATGTAAAGGTGTGCTGTATTTGGTTATGCTGCATTTGTTTAATTATGAAAGGATGTGTTACTGTTTCACCTTTGCTGCCTGAGGCATCTGATTGATCGAATGAGCTTAATGGCCAGTAGCTAGGAGGAGAGCGATATGTGGTGCTGGATGGCAGAGGGAATTAAGTAGGGGGAGAAATCTAGGGTGGAGAGAACAAGGGAGAAAGATAGGGACACACACCCAGGGCCAAGCAGCTGTTAGCCAGCCACATGAGAAGCAGTGAAAGTAAGATATGCAGAAGGAAAGAAAGGTATAAAGCCCGAGGCAAAATGTAGATGAAGAGAAGCAGTTTAATTTTAGGTAAAAGAGCTAACCAGTAATGAGCCTAAGCTAGGCCCATCATTCATATCTAATAAGAATTCTTCATGTTATGAATTGGGAGCTGGTTGGTGGTTAAAAGAAAAGGCCTAATACAGATTTTCCCCTCACACTCTGCATTTTGTAATAAGTAGGCAGTGGAGCTGTGGGGGAGGAAGGGTCAAGGCAATGAAAGCATTTCTTGGCAGTGGGGGACACTACCCACTAGAGTATGCAGTCATGGGGGAGGGCTCAACATGTAGGTGTGACTCACAAACTTACATACTCTCTGGCAAAGATGTGTGTGAAGTTAACTCATGGCCATTCCAAAGTTCTTGTCCTTGTCCCTTTTCCAGCCTTCAGAGACATTTGTCCTGCTCAGCCAAGTGGCTCTTAGGATTACTAGTGACCTTACTCTGAATGTGTCCACCTGCCCTGTGGGCACTCAGTTACTGTCCTGCACCGAATGTGACGTTCTGTCCTCACTTACTGTTCTGGTTACTGTAAGCACCTGACAGAAGCACTTCCACCATGGGGAAGACAGGCACCTGACATCAGAAAGTCAGGGAGAGATGTATGTATGCTGGTACTCACCTGGCTGCTCGTTCCTGCTCCCTTCCTTCCTTCCTTCCTTCCTTCCTTCCTTCCTTCCTTCCTTCCTTCCCTCCCTCCCTCCCTCCCTCCCTCCCTCCCTCCCTCCCTCCCTCCTTCCTCCCTCCATCCCTCCCTCCATCCCTTCCCTCCTCCTTCTCTTCCCCCTTTTTATTTTCAAGGCAGGATTTCTCTGTGTAACAGCCCTGGCTATCCTGGAACTCGCTTTATAGACCGACCAGGCTGGCCTCAAACTCACATTAAAGGCATGTGCCACCACCACCTGGCGTTTTCTTTTTAACTAGTTTGAGCCCGCAGTATGCTGTGGTCCACATTCAGTGTTAAACCTTCTGGAAACACGGATACACTCAGAATTGTATGTCTTAGGTAATTCTAATTCCAGTCAAGTTGGCAAGATGAACCCCATAGGGCCTGTTGAAATAACCAGGTGTGCCAATCTGGAGTTTCTGAGGTATTGGTACGGTGCCCCTCGAGCTCTAGGGTGCCAGCCCCTTACCATCCACTGTCAATGGTCTTACTTTTCAAGAGGTAAGACTTAACTGGCATTTCCAGTCTTTACACAAGTGCTTAGTTATATCCTCCTGAGGTATTTGAAGTTGAGATTGATTTTTTTCTTTAATATTAAGTATATATATATATATATATATATATATATATATATATATATTTTTTAGTTGGTCATTTAATAACTAAATTATTTAAGTGACTGCTCAGTGCTTGGCCCCAAATGGGACATCTGTGCCACCACCTCCAAAGACCAGGGAACATTCCACAATAGGGAGTGGAAGTTCTAGGAACAGAAAGATACTGTAGTCAGGAGAGTAGGAGGTGGGGCTAGGTGGGAAGGAGGGTCAGGAGGAGGGGCAGGAGTGTAGCAGGTGTGACTTGTACACAAGAACAATATTGTCAAGTCAAAACATCAAATGGTAATTCTCAAGAGGACTCATCTCGGAAGTAGTGGAACATTTCAAAGCACATGGGTTATGCAGAGGCACACATACAACACCTATCCTGACAACTGAAGTTGAAGCTCAAAGCTTCACATTTGCTGGGCTTTGTGACACACTTGTAATCTGGACACTTGGTGGTTTAGGCAGAAGAATTAGCAGGTGTTTGAAGGCAATTCAGAGGTAACTGGAGATGTATGAGACCTTGTCTCAAAGGGCAGAAAACAAAGGCTTGAGGGATGGCACAGGACTTAAGCACATACAGCTCCTACAGAGAGCCCTAGTTTGATATTTAGTACCCATGTCAGGTGTATATGTGTCCTCTGAGGACAACTGTGTATAACTATATACAAACATGTGCACATACCACACACACACACACACAATTAAAAATGAAGAAATTTTAA